TATTATCTGCAGAGAGTGTGTTAAGTGATGAGTGAACAGACTAACATTTATTGGTGTGTTAATAGGGATCTGCGTTTGGATTTCTTTGGAGGCAGTTCACCCTTCTGCACTCATTTCCCTTGATAGAGTGATCAGAAGCAATTACTTTTTCAAGAATTGGATACTATTTCATATGACCTCATATGATGACGGGAGTGTCTCCAGATTCCCTCTTTCTCCAATAACTCATATAAGAATGACGACATTGCATGAAATTTAATGAACTAGTTGGAATTTGGACTAAATATATATTTAACCTGTTATTTAAGTTAGGTAGGTGTTGGGTGTACACTCTGGAATGTTTGGGGAAATTTATTGTTTTATCTGATAAAATTATTGTGAAAGTGATCTGTGCTGAAGAATTTGCAGATTACAGATAGTTCTTGCTTAACAAACATTTGTTTAGCGACCATTCAAAAACACAGTGGTGCCGGACAAAAGGACGTGAGACACATGCCCAAGGTGCTGTTGCAGCGTCCCCACAGTCACGTGATTGTGATCTGGCCATTTGGCAACCCATGTACCTTTACAAAAGGTTGTCAAGCATCCTGCAATCATGTGATCACCATTTGCAATCTTCCCGCCGGTTTCCTCAGGAAGGTTACAAACCGCTGCCACCCGCCTCCCTCTGGTTCTGAAAAAAGGTCTGATCTGAAACCCAAACAGGTTTTTGGCACAAGACATTTGCAGCATGGGGTGTTTGGAGCCAGTCCCCAGAAATGAGAGGGAGTCCAGCACCACAGTTCTTCCCCCTCCCCCTGCCGAAGTGATCCAAGCTTTTTTCCACAGCCCAGTACCGGAATTCTCCCCCACCCCACCTCCAGCTGCCGCATGCACAGAAGGGAACTTCAGCATGCTATGAAAATGATTCATTTTTATGACACTTGGTAATGCAAAGTAGCCCTGCTTGGTTTTAGAAATACAATTTCTATTTTCTTTTCTCTTCTAGGAGGTAATAAACACACGGGTGGTGGAAGAGAATCTGGTAGTGATTCATGGAAGCAGTATATGAGGCGATCCACTTGGTAAGATCTGAAGAGTTTATGTACATGTAAAGTAACTTTCCATAATCGGATGTCCTCCACTTACTTTTGTAGTTTTGTAATTTTCCAGGCATACCTCTAGGGCAGGGGTAGGCAACCCTGGCTCTTTTATGATTTGTGGACTTCAACTCCCAGAATTCCTGAGCCAGCCATGCCTACCCCTGCTCTAGGGTTTCAGGTTGATGATGCTTCGTATAAGTGTTCTCCTAATCACTCTAGAGATGGGCAGAGAAACTCATAAAAGGACAGAAATGTAGTACCCCCTTAGAAAAATGTTTAAAAGACTTAATGGGAAAAGGAGAAATTATTAAGTGCACACTTAAGAAGTTATCTTAATACATTCTTCTTCTTGTTCCATATCCGTTATCGGATGTTGGCGATCATGTTGGCAATCCTGTTTTTATCAGCAGCCGCACGAAAAAGTGTTGCTGAGTTTTGTCCAAACCAGTCCCTTAGATTTTGAATAATAATACATTAATTTAATTAATTTAGATGACATTACATTTAATTGTAAAACTGAATTAAATGAAAATTGGTTTTCATTTGGCCCTGCCTTTTTTTGGCTGCTAAGCATGTCCCTCAAAATTTAAGGATGATCTCTTGTTGTCTCTCTCCTCTAGAGGCACATTTAAGGCAATACAAGTGTTCTAAATGTAGGATTTCCAGCAAACTGCTTATTCAGCTAATTTCCTTGCAGAGGAGAATAGAATACTCTGTCAAGAAGTTTAATAATTTGATCTTAAAGGTAATGGTATACATGAATTCAGAACAAATATAAGCATGCATATACTAAAAATTGCATTTTAGAGGATTTTATGCTTTATATCTGATGACATGTGAGATTTTGCGAGGAAACTGCAGAGAGGGGAGTCAAGCATAATACTATTCGTGATGTGGCTGAAATGTTTCTAGGTCATTTAAAAAAGATCATGGGAAATGCTTATTGAAGTGATAGTAGGATTGCTGCTGTGATAACAAAATTTTCCTTGAAATATTCCTGTTTTGGAATAGCTATGCATATCTCCCCTAATTTGATACAGAATTTCATTTGCTTTTGTTCTTTAATTAAATAACACATCTGAAGCTATAGGAATGGTTCACTAGATGGTTCCGTCCCAGGCGACTGATGGACCCTGAGAGGTTCCTGATGGAGCTTGGGCCATATCCGGAGGATCTAGTCCACGACTCGGCGGAAAATCAGGCGGCGGCCTGGGAGACAACTGCCGCCGCAGCATTGGACCGAGTCGTGCCTCTGCGGCCTCTGACCCGACGTGGATCTCGACCATCCCCTTGGTTTAC